CCATTTCTCCTGCTGGGAAAGATTCCACGATTGTAGCAATAAACTACATAAAGAAAAGTAGGGAGTGCTGGGATGCAGCATTTATGGTACGACGAGGCCTGGATGGACAATTCTTGCAAAAATCTTATGCCAGAGATCATTTTGTTTGCGGCACATTATGACCGACATCAGCTGCTACCCGGGAGATTTGCAGGTGAGCAATTGAGCATTCACTCTACCACCAAAGCTGAAATGTATTCCTGCAGAAAGAATCAGCAATTAACGTAGATCTAAAGTCATGTAGATGTGCGCCCCATATGTGTAATACAATAGAGCCACGTCTAGCCTTACAGGAGAACTATGAGGTGAGTGATTTTCACTCAGCCTCATAGTTCGAGCCGACGTGTGACAATGAAACTGTCACACGTCGGCTCTATAGATCGGGAAGTGAGCCCTGACTGGCGGAACAGACGGGGGAGGGGGCGGGTACAGTTAACTCTGCCTCTAGATAGGCAGAGCCAGCTGTCAATCACGCAGGTGGGTTGATCTCGACAGTAATGTCGGGACCCATCCCGGCTGCAGCGGTCTCAGTATACCGCGCGCTGTAGCTCACGGTATACTGAGCTGCGTGACCCTTAGGAGAACTATGGGGGGAAAAAAACTTACCCCCATAGTTCTCATTTAAAGTGTGTTTCCACTTTTGTAGCCAAATTGGGGTAACACCGACTTTACTATATTTCTCATATGTTCCCAAAACAAATAGCATGACATTAAATTAAAGACCAGGGTGTTAAACCCCCTTCCTGTCCCAATCAGCTTCTCTCTTTCATTTTTGAATTTTAACTGTGCCAACTGAAGAGAGAAGCTGATTGGTTGCCATGCACAGCTGCTCCAGATTCTTTCTGCTGCAGTTTTGATAAATTCCCCCCACTGTAGGATAATGGGGAGGAGCTCAGTCTGTCTCAAGTCTTTCTATTAGAGCAGTCAGTTTGCCGTTACTAAAATTGAGAGAAGTGCATACAAAGGCCTCCTAAATGAAGATATCTAAAGGGTAAGAACTAGATTTTTATCATTTTCAGATATGCTGTGTGAATAGGAACACAAACAAAACACATAGTGGGGACTGCAAAAGTGGAAATGCACTTTAAGGACTAGTTGATCTTCAACCAAAAACCTTGGAAGTGAGAAACTTCGCACTCATCTTTACGAGACCGCGGCATCATACAACAGTCATGGGATTTGAGGCCTATGTCGTCTGTCACTAACATTTAAACATAATTTCACAGAGCAGCATTTCAAATCTAACAAAGGAAGTTGCAGGCCAACAAAAGCTTAAAAGGAGAACTATGGGGTTCTATCTTTTTTTTATGAATGCATTCCTTAGGCTAAATAAGTAAATAATGTAATTTACTCTAATTAGCCAAAATGCACAGTAAGGCTGTAAAACCTTATTTTAGGTGGTGGGCGGGGCTAAGCGCCGCAATGAGAAGACATCCCAACGTATCTGACGGGATCCTCCCCACTGATGACTGACAGTGATTCTTGAGAGCTCTCTCCTTACCTGCACGTTCCCGTGTGCCAGCTCCTTACCCCCTCTCTCTCTCTCTCTCTCTTTCTCTCCCTGCCGACACTGACATACCAAAATGATCGTGGATCGCTGATGACAGAGGGGAAGGAGCTCTCTCTCTCGCTCTTCAGCATTTACTACAAATCGGAAAGTCCATATATGGTAAATGATGTCACTGGAGATCCCTGCTCATCGGATCCGATGAGCAGGGATCTCCAATGACATAAGGCTGTAAAACCTTATTTTAGGTGGTGGGCGGGGCTAAGCACAGCAATGAGAAGACATCACACATTGTAGCATTAAGACCTCATGCAAGAGCAACCTCTTATGCGTTTTACCACTTGGGATTAGCTCTGGTTCACACCTAGGAGTTTTTGAGCAGTTCGAAAAGTGCCCAACACAAGAAATCCCATGATGTTCAATGGCCGTGGTTCACACCTGAGCAGGAAAACGCCAGAAAAGATACAGGAGCTTCTTTGGGCAGTTAAAACTGCTTTTCCTCCCCATAGACTTCATTGGAAATGCCCAAAAACGCGCAACAGACGCATGTTGCACATTTTCGTGAGCGTTTTTGCACGTTTACACGCCCGTTCAATGGTTTCTGAGTTGCCAATCAAAACGCGTGTCTTCATGTACGTGCGTTAAAACGCGCATACAAATGTGTACAACACGCATAAACACGCAAATAATCGCATGCTGCTAACGCGCACATGCGCAAAAGTGTTGTCACCTAGTTGTGAAACAGGGCTCACTCATGACTTCTATTAGTAACCCCAGGCGGTGAAATGGGCAAGAGGTTAATGTATCCCATTACACAAATCCATGTGCAGAATCAGCTCATAGGCAACTGTGCATGCAGTACAATGAGGGCCCATGTCCAGCTAGGAGCTTTACATATGCTTTTCCCACACCCGAAGCGCATGGAGGGCTCAGTACAATTGTTTTCATGGATTTTCATTTTGTGTGCTAAAAATAAAATCTTGCTCGATGCAATTCATGTGCTATTTTGAACAGATCTCAGATTCCAGAGGGCAGAATGGTAGCACATGTAATATGCAAAATACACGTGTTCTTTGGTCTTTTTAAAAGGGAACTCGTCACAACTAAGCATATGCAAGGAGCCGCTTTTTAGGTCATGCAGCAGCTTTAACTGCTCTTCGTTATGCCCGAATGGCAAGTAATTTTGAACGCTTTAAAGAGACCTTATATGGCCAGACAAACCAAATATTCCCATACGATATGTAAATTTTACGTGCCAAACTAGCTGCTAACAAGACATGTACCTGATATCACACTGGGGAAAATACAATTCACATTTTACCCTCAATTCAATATTGAAGGGGCATTTTTGAACATCTGAAACTTAATGGTTTTCCATTCTACTTGATACTATACTGGAATAAAATAGTGTCTGGACAATGAATCCATTGGTGTGGTGCTTCAATCTTAGATCTCCTGATATACACTACAAACCAAGGAAACTATGGAAATCCTCAGGGGTGTAGAAGCTGCCGGCCCGGCAACCAGACAACCTGTGCCAACACCATTAATACTATTGGATAGCAATACCAATAGGACAACCATAGAGTCAGGACGTCATCAGAAGAGGACCTTCACTTGCTCCAATGCACGGGTCCAGGGTAATTTCCAACCAGATGCATGTGCACCCACATTTCTGCAGAGCATTCTAATTTACGCGAACACGCTAATCCCCAAGAGCACGCAGGTGAAAAGACAAGCACACATTTCCAGGTTTGGTGCCAGATTGCCTATTTAAGCAACAGAGCCAAGCTAGGAAGTCACTGGATGGTCTTCAGCTGTTACCCTGTGACCCTAACCTCTACCAGCCCCTGTGAGCTGCTTACCTGCGGCTAACTCATTTTGCCCCTGGACCCATCTCTGCTCTGATCTCTTGTAGTGGCCCCGCATGCTTCTGACTTCATCTTGGTTTTCCCACCAATTGCTGACTCGGCTAATTCCGACTCTTCTGTGACCTTGGCCTGCCTCTTGACCCCAAAACTGCCTCTGCAGACGTCCTATTGTGGCCTTGGCCTGCCTCTTCACCTCAGCACTGCCTCTGCAGACTTCCTGGTGTGGCCTTGGCCTGCCTCTTGACCCCAACACTGCCTCTGCAGTCTTCCTGTTGTGGCCTTGGCCTGCCTCTTGACCCCAACACTGCCTCTGCAGACGTCCTGGTGTGGCTTTGGCCGGTCTTTTGATAAGGACTCAGCCTTATGCCTGTGATTGCTACACTTGATTTGGCAGGCCTGCCTGAAATATTTGTATTCATTTGATACTGAAACACAGAAAGTTAAATTAAATCTCCCAGAACTTCCACAAAGACAGGAGCAGAGCTGGGAATGACATAGGGGAGACCTCATTCTTGGAGTATACAAGTCACATAGGAAGCCAGGGACATACACAAACCCACCATGCTTCATCCAATATCACTTTTGCCCCCCTACCTTTCCTGAGCCTTTTTTGGTGTCCGGATATCCCGGGACATAGGATCTGTTGCCCTATCCTATCTGTGTGTTTTTTGCACAATTTGTTTTTTTTGTGCCATCTATTATGTTGATTGCCCCGTTTTGTACGCATCCATTCAGGATCTCTGTATAATTTTAATAGCAGACCTGAATGAATGACATATGGAAACGTACTGGCTGCTACGAGCAACAAGACATTATCCTATTACCAGTCTTCTACATCAACCCCTTCTGTGCTATGGTGCTGAATGACAGTTTGGCTCTCTAAAGCTCACTGCTCCACAGGCTGAACAGCTAGTGTTGCCATGGAAACATACGCACAGTATGGAGGATTAAAAGACTACAAGCCTAACATTTCCGAAATTCACTAAAACCTTAACGTGAAACTTCAGGTAATAATTAAGAAAGGGCCACCAGACATAGCATGCCTCTTCTGCAATAAGGAGTCTTACCTGCCTGTTCACCTTCTCATTGACAATGTACACAGAGTTGCGCATGCGCAGCTCAGTGTACAGTTTCAGCATTTGCTGAGATAAATGAACTCCTGTGCATGTGTCTGAGATGCATCATCTCAGCACGGCCAATCAAGATGACCAAAGATCCAGAAGACGACTGCACGAGGCAAGAGCGCTCGTGGACATTGCATCGCTGAAGGGAAGAGAGCACGGTTCCACTTTAATTACAGTTCCATATTGGTACACGCACGCCGGGTTTAGAGTGAATATCTGCTTTATTATAAATAGACTATGGG